CGCGAATCCAGGAGATTCCCGTACTTGTGCCGCACCCATACGTGAATTGCTGTGCGTCCTTTCTTATCCATACCCTGATAAATGAGTTTGTTTAAAACACAGAAAAATTCACAATAAATGCCTCAGCAGCATCAACAAAAATGATTTAAACGTATGAAGTACAATTTACGTTTACCTCTGTCGATAATTCTACCGGCGTTGAGTCACCGGCAAGAAGGGCATCAATCCTGGCAATCATACCCGGAGTTATTGATTCCGGCGGAGAAATGTCGGGAGATTTTTCTTCCTCCTTCACTGGTTCTGTTTCAGACACAGATGGCAGATCTAAAGAAATTCAGTTTCATCACCGACACATTTTAATTCTAAAAAAAACATCTTTTTGCTTTTATATATTTCAGTTTTAGAAGAATGTTTGCTGATGAATGACGAGTACCTAAATCATCAGCGCTTTGTCGATGACATAATTCTAACTTTAGGCTGCACATGCGAAAGAAATGTGGCGCTGCAAGAACTCAAGGCATGTACAAAAAGTGCTGGTACAAAAACTAATGCATCGATGACGAAACAGATGCAAAATGCCGGTATGCCCGCGGCCAAACTGCAGACAGAGAATGCTAATTAGCGACTATGTAACTAAAAAAGAAAGCAGATATGCGCGATAAGTTCCAGTCTGAGAATGCACAAAGAAAAGCCCTGGTGGTACAAATTTCACAGCATCGTGAATATCTTCAAAATGTGTCCACTTCTTCTATACCACTGGGACTACAGGGACGAAACAGAGCAATGATGCCGAAAAAACCCGAAGAAATTTGGTTACCGAAGAAATCCGAAGAGTGAATGTTGGCTGTTGCGGGCAGAACGATGAAGCGAAGGATGGCAGGGTACATAAATAGCAAAATAAAAGAATTTGACATAAGTGGCATGTGCGAAATGACATTTTACAATGCAGCGTCCGTGTTTCATCCCTTAGCTGTAAACAAAGACCGAATTATGAGTGCGCGTAGAAGCGGGAATCATCAGTACAGCTTTTTACCCGTCATGCACTGAACAGCCATGTAACTAATTTGCGAGATAAATATACTAAAGAGAAAGAAAACAGAGAAGGACCAAACAGAGTGAGAGAGGAGTGAAAGAAAAGGAAGTTAAGTCAATTTAAGAAAAACTATTATATTTAAATTACGAGGAAATGCATTTTATGAAAACAGCATGATGACTAGGCGTTTGATTTCCATATAATCAGGAAAGATGGATTTGCTGAGACCAGACCAGTTCCTGAAGTAGAATTTGAGGACGGAGCGTTCTATTTTGGCAATATCAAACTTTTTATGTCTATAGATATTTATAAGCCGTCTAGCCCAGTAACGGAACTCCTGTGGGAGAGTGCATATACATGCGCACCGAAGTAGTTGCGAAATAATAACACCTTGTTTTGTGAAATTTCGAACTAACCCTCAGCAAGTGCAAATTGGTCTTTCTAAGACAAATCGCGCTCTCTCACTGTTTTCGTTAATACAGCTAGGATGAAACGAACTTCAGGATGGCAAGCAACTGGTCAAAGGAACTCGACAAGCTTTCAGTTGCATAAGTGATGAAGCAGAATATGAATCACGGTTATCCCAAGTAATCCCCCTAAGTTACCTCGTCAGTAAATCCACTCAGCCTGCGAGCATGCTTCAGTTCACACCGAAATACAGAAAGCGGCCACTTACCGACGACAGTGCCATCTTTGGTGATTTCATTCACAATGAAGTCTGTGTAGAATTTCTTCAGCACACATTTCATTGTTCCGCATGCCGGGGTCCTGTACTCGGTGATATAAAAATCTTGCTCCATTTGATGCTATCTGAACAAATCAATTTTACAAAATACGCTATTGCACAAGTTCTGCACGGCAAAAACGCAGCTGCTGCTGGGAAAAGAAGCGCCTCTGCCAGATGGCCACACAAAAAATACTACTTTTTTACATTTCTGAATGTATTGTGCGAACAAAAATGAATTGCGGCAAAGCTTTGTCCTGTATCCCTACAACAGAACGGTGGATCTATAACAGCTGTTAGGTGAAAAAATCCTGAATAGCACTCAACCCTGTGCGAGGCCAAAGACACCACATACGCAGGTTTAGCTAATTTTTCCATCCGTGGGAACCACTTTAAGTAGGTGCAGCCCTTCCGGTTCGATACTTTGTCGGCGTCAAAGATGGTGTAAAAATTATGCCCATTCGCAGCTCTTCCATATATAAACTGCAGCCCGCGAACATTTACCCCTCAAGTTGGATGCAGCTGTCAACTTCCCCAAACTCAACATCACCTCCTAACTAGAACCCGGCCGTGAATACAAACACCCGGAGTTAATCCCACTTCTGATGCATTGATTTCAAGACCCATCTACTTTGTGCATTAACTGCCTGGAGCACTCCAACTATCTCCGGAGAGTGGCTCCGAATAAAAACT